TTAGAAGGGTAACTACCTTTTATCCGTGTTCACATATTGGCAACTTCTTATTTTTTGTACATAAGAAAACAAAAAACTTGTTTTAACTGTGTAACATCCCAAAAATCATGACAAAAAATTTCGTTTTTAATTTAATACTAAAACCATAATTGTCAAACCATTAATTTAATACTCCGGCATCGGGCCTTGCCCGACATCAGGCCCCGCTTAACATCGAGCCCCGTTCGGTATACAAATCTGTCTCTCTTAGGCCCCACCTGTCTCCGGGCCCCGCCCGCTAAACACATACAATCATATAACATGCTAACACATAAAGAAACATACTCTCCTGTATCTCTGTCCTAAGAAACATACTCTGCTAATAATGAGATACGGAACTTCGTCCGTACTCAGCTAGTTCCAGCCAGGGCTTCAGCAGTGCAAAGTGAGTTTCCTCACTGTGTGAATGGGTCTAAGGCCACAATGCCAGCCCATATAGTCTATGAGTAGGAAGACCCGGGGGTTAGCCTTAGGCATTGTATGCTAGTAGGGTTATTCCAGACCAAGGTCTAATGTCGGGCGGGTACCCGAGGAATGTTTGCATGTTATATTATACTTGTTGTCTATGTGATACTTGTATGTGCCTGGTAAAGAGGTGGGTGTGGGTGAGGTCCCGTATCCCCATCACTAGCTGAGTACGAAGATGTTCCGTATCTCATTATTAGCAGAGTATGTTTCTAAGGACATGGATACACTAGAGTATGTTTCTTTATGTGTTAGCATGTTATATGATTGTATGTGTTTAGCGGGCGGGACCCGGAGATAGACAAATCTGTATATCGAGCGGGGCTCGATGCCAGGCAGGGCCTGATGCCGGGCGGGGCCTGATGCCGCAGTATTAAATTAATGGTTTGACAATTATGGTTTTAGTATTAAATTAAAAACGAAATTTTTGGTCTTGATTTTTGGGATGTTACACAGTTAAAACAAGTTAGTTGCTTTCTTATGTACAAAAAATAAGAAGTTGCCAATATGTGAACACGGATAAGAGGTAGTTACCCTCCTAAGTCGTTTTCCCTTTGAGTTACCGGTTAAAACATGTATTAGCCGGTAATATTGGTGTAATTTAAACAGTTAAAACAAGTTAGTTGCTTTATTATGTACAAAAAAGAAGAAGTTGCTAATATGTGAACACGGATAAGAGGTAGTTACCCTCCTAAGTCATTTTCTCTTCTTTTATTGAAATATTATAATATTTTATTGTTCGTAAAATTGGAATATGCAATATTGAAAGACCCACACTTTCATATTTGACAATTGTTACTCTAAAACATGCTACATGCATATTCATAAAAACAATATTTTACATTGATAAAGTGATTACAAACGATTGGATACAAACCGACTATTACAAAATCTAATATTATACATAACTACCCGGGATACTATAGTTTTATACATACATAAAAAATACAAGAGTAAATTACTGAAATCGTCTCTGCGGTTTGGTCAAAATTGCACGTTTGGTCCCTAACTTTTTTTTTTGCACTCGGATCGTCCATGTGGTTTGATTTTGTTGCGTTTTTCGTCCTTGTGGTTTGATTTTGTTGCATTTTTCGTCCCTTACATACATAAAGTTAGGGACCACACATGCAACTTTTAC